TCTTCAATTCAAGAGGAAGAGAACTCTCCAAAATTTCTAGTCAAGAAGCCTAGAGCCCAAGCCTCTAAGAAGATCCCAAAAATCAGCCCAAATTCAAGATAAAACCCTAAATCCCCCTTTCCCCGCAATTAACTCCAAACCCCTCATACAAAATCCCTAAACAGTCTATTCAAATTTCCCCACTTCCATTCAAATTTTTTCCCTCCCACACTTGAATTAAACCCAAGCATGGGCCCACCAGGCATCCACCCCCCTCTCCTCATGTCCGCCCCATGTGGGGCCCTCCTGGAATAAGTGAGGACTGGTCCATGTTGGACTGGTCCAGCCAGCCCAAGAGGGACTGGCCTAACAGCATGCCATTCAGCGAAGGATATGAGAGGCCTAGTAACTTTTATATGTTAAGACTGTCTTATTTCAATAAAGTTTTCCAAGATTATTGATCACATAGGAAGGGGCCATATTGAGTTTGGATGGAAATTCAATCTCTTCTTTTAGTGAAGAATTAAATGATACGATAAATAAATAATCTAGATATGATAGAGAATTTTTTTGCAATCCTACGACCAAATTGATTTTTGAGACATCATACACTGCCCAATAAATTTGTTTTTATTATTACTATCACCCGTTAAAATATTCAAGCTCCTACAGCATAAGCATTCCAAATGGATTAAATTCCTACATAAATACACTGCTGTGTTAAAACATTGGGTTAGAATTAACAATAAAACCACTAATTCCTTATACAAAGAGGTTATCATTTTGCCTACTACACAATTTAAGGTAACAGGCTTTGATAGCATCAAGGAAGACTACGCAAATTACAAAGATTTTAGTATAACATATCTCGACTTAACTTGTGCTCCTGTCATTTTCACTAAAGATGATTTCTTTTCAAGGGAACTCAACTTTGCATCCAGAATACAACTCTATAAGATTACCTTATATTAGAACCATATTTCAAAAATAAAAGCTTATATTAGAACTACGTTTTAAATATAAGTTTGGTCATAATTGGGGATAAATTTTATTGGTCAAGCTTAAAACACAATGTCACATACATCATATTTTACAATGCAGAAAATGTCAAATGGCTAGAAGCAAGAAACACAATATTTATAACATTACTAACCCATATAACTCTTGGGAGGGCGTGAGCATGACGCTCATAGGATTATCACAAACAATAAAGAAACACAATTATATCTTTGTAGTGATTGGTCGTTACTCAAAAATAGCTCCTATTACTACATATTTTTAAACTATTGGTGTGCCCTACACAGCAAAATTATAATTTGATTAATTTGTACAGCTTACCCCAAACTATATCTAATAGGGATAAAATTTATGATTTGTTTTTGGAAACCTTTATAGGAAAAATGGGAAAATAGTCTACCACCCGCAAACTAACAATTAAGCCAATAAAAATTAATAGGAGTTTGGGTGATCTTATGTTGTCGAACTAAATGTCACACATTTGTGTGGAATCTAATACACCAATGGTTCAGTTTTCATATATTTATTCTACTAATAGTTGCACATATTTGCTAATGAAACAGCGCAAGGGTCTCCCATCAAACTATAACACATAGCACACGCTATTAAACATGGCGCAAAATAGTAAAAATTATGAATAAAATACAACTAAATATGAAAGAATATTAAAAATGAAAGACAAATCATCATGGCACTAAAAAAATTATTTAAACGTCTAAAAAATTTGAACAAAATATGATTTATAATAGTGAAGTTTATGTTATTTATCAATTTCAAACTATAATATGAAAATAACAAATTCAGCACCAAAGGCAAGATCAGATACCTTCATCAAAACCATTTCAAACTCTTCTCCTTACTAAATTGGCAAGAGAGAGAAAGAGTGTGTTCAGCATGCAGCATTGAATCAAAGAGAGATACCCTTCAACATGTGGGTCACAATGCTTGCATGCAAGGCTGGCAAAGCAAAGAGGTGCGGGCTTGCAAACTTGTGAGATGAACAAGAGGGACGAACGAGTCAGATGAGATGGATGAAAGAAATAGACGAGAGGAACGCTTGCGGGCTTGCAGTGGGCAGCGTAAACTGCTCAATGTCCGACGAGAGGAACGCTTGCGGGCTTGCAGTGGGCAGCGTAAACTGCTCAATGTCCAACCATGTAACGAAGCCAAGCAATGTTTGGCAGGATGTGGGGCTTGCAATACATGAGGGTTGTATGAATTAATATAAACTAAAAAGTCAATAATAAATGATATAAATATTAGTTTATAATACAAAATTATCTAAATTAAAATGGCGTGTACTATAAGAGCTATGTCATGCGCTATTGTCTATGCATAGCACAAATAATGTGAGCTATTTTAACCTCATGGGTTACATCATGAAAATGGCACAAGTGGTTGACCATGCCTGAGCTTACGCACCATAGTAAGTACAATATTGCACTATCAGCACGTATAAGTCAATTTCAAGTTATCATTGGTTATTACCCTAAAACACCCATGGACCTTATTGAACTTGTTGAATCTAGACGTAGTTAAATTGCATAATAAGGAATGATGGAAATCTAAAAATATAATTGTGTTGGAAGCATAATAAGTGATAATTTATATGATTTGAGATAATATATTTTATTTTTGCATAGTTTTTTTTAAGCGTGTTTATGTTGTTGACTAGTGTGAATGGGATATGTTCATTAGTATTTTTTAGTGGCATGTAGTATTTTTTAATGGCATGTTATGGCAAGCTTATTACAACGTGGTTCCAATTTGGAACACTAAATTTCAATAATCACATATGAATTTTAGAATCATTATGAGAATTGCTAACTACCAACCAATGCAATTAAAATTTCTTGATTATTCAATGTTACAGTTTTCTCCTTGAAACAAAAAATATATATTTTATATTCTTATTCTATTTTATTTTATTTATGTTGTGTTGCTCTTACTTCAAGAGTCGTCTCAGTTAAGCTTCAAAATCAAACTTAATTAAGGGGAGGGATGGCACCAATGCAACCAACTAGCTATCATCAGCATATTTTCTCTAGAAACTACTTGCAAAGCCATATATAGTGTGGTTTCTTCCCTAAATCACACATAGTAGATCCAAATAGCAGCCTTCTTTGGCATAAGTACCCTCAGGCACAAATACCTACCAACGCCAGGCCTACGACATCAAAGCAAATCTTATTTACTGCGCTAATTATTAGACATGAATAGGAGTAGCCGGCAATCAAAGATGATAGCAATCAAAGGTATTGATAGTAATTAGAGGCTGGTTGATCCACAAATAGTGACTGAGATCAACAATAGGAGATGAGTGGTGAGACGGTGAATGAAAAGGTAGTTTGGGGAAAAAGAAATTTTTTAAAATATTAAAAAATGTATAAAATAAGTTTTCATTATTTTTCAAGAAATAAAAAACATAAGAAATTAAACGAATATGTTTTGTTTTAAAATATAATTAAAAAGTGATCCCAAATAGGGCATTAGTCATTGGTTTGGTATAAGTTTTCAACTTTTCATTGAAATCTAGTGAAGATATGTGTTGGATTTACTTTTTGAAACATGAACTTAATTAATTGCTGCATTTTATTATTCATATATATTCGCTTATGGAATTTGAGATTTTGGGTATCTCTTGGAATGAACAAATAATGTTTGATTTCCTTACATTAAAAGCAACAATAATTTACTAAAATATGGGTTAGTAACTTATGGATGGTCAATTTTTAATGTTCTCATCTTGCATCTCCTAAGCTGCATTAAAAATCTCAAATCTTTCCTCATCCTACATGAGGAATCCTCTAGAAAAATTCCTAGAATCATTATGATTCTGTTATATTAAGAGATATACAATCAACTTATGAAGCAAAAATAACCTATACCACCTCCACCACCAACATAACCTACACCAACCACTTCACGAGAAGATTTATTTGTTGTGCTAGGAGAATTGATGCAAAACAAGGTGACGTCAAAGAACTCAAGAATATTTTCTAATATATATTATCTTTTATTTGCAATAATGCTTTAATGTCATTAAAAAAATTAATAAGACTTATGTTTATTTGCATTTTAATGTATAGTAGGATTATGTGTGTGTTTTAAGTGTTTAGGGTTTTTAAGATCCTATAATTAGGAGCTAATTTATCCATTTTAATACTAACAAATATTTTGATAATTCATTGTTGTGTATAAAAAATCTCTCATGTGTGCTAGGATTGGGGATTGAATCCATCATGTTATGTGCTCTAACATCAAATGATAGAGGAACAAAGGGAAATACAGCAAAATGTAAGAACTTGATAAAAGAAAATGTAACAAAGAGATAGAATCAGAGACTAAAGCACGTTCAATTGGTAGATAATGAAGAATCCCACGCAGAGCTTGAATTCAAACCCTAATCCAAGCGAACAACAAAAAACCTCACTACTCTCACAAAGAGATAAAGTGGAGAGAAAGAGAGTAGATTAGGATCGGATAATCTATGCAAAAATGATTTCAAAACAGTTATCAGCTCTAAAATTAGCAACATGAATTGAATATAAAACGATTTATGCAATATTAATAACATCTCAAACACACAATAGTAATGAATGGTAAATGAAGATTAATAAAGCTGACCTCGGATAATCAGAGCTAATGATAAAGATCATGAAATAATAAAGGGATTCTCCATCAATATTAAAATGTACAAGCTTTTCATAAATAGTTGCATTGATGGAAAGAGTGTTACATATCAAAAGAAAGAAGATGCTGAAAAACAGATCCATGATTACATAAAAGAAAAAATGAATTGCAACGACAATTCTGAATGTGGTATAAAGCCAGTGGGAAATCAAACCAAATAAAGATTTTAGCTGAAAGGATTATAGTAATGATAATTATTATTTCAATCATAAATGGATAAGAAATTAATAGCAATGTTAATCATAAGTAAATAAAAATTTTATGCTCACAAAGGTAGCAAGAAGTATCATAGAATGAGTGTTATATCTTACCAATGCGCCCAATTTTCATTCCTGATCGTGCAAGTGCCCTAAGGGCAGATTGGGCACCAGGACCAGGAGTCTTTGTCTTGTTCCCACCCGTGGCCCTGAGCTTAATATGCAACGCAGAAATACCAAGCTCCTGCAAAGATGATGGAACCACAAGAATAAACATCAATACTACCACCAAAGTCCCGCATATTTTAAAATAAGAAAGAAAACATTAGTATATAGGACCTTGCAACGCAGTGCAACATCTTGTGCAGCAAGCATAGCAGCATAGGGAGATGATTCATCCCTGTCAGCTTTGACTTTCATGCCACCTACAGAAATATTAACAGAAGGTTCAAAAACTGCATGGACTAGCTATGAGAATCCTTAGATTGCAACAGCTCATATGAAGCCAATAAGTTCAACAAACTCGAAGACTTATTTCAATTACATTCAACAAGAAGCCATAGAAAAACATTGGAACAAGCTATTATAGCAATCATCAAAACTTAATGGAAGCAGAAGAAAGTCAGAAACATATTGTATTTTTCAAATGAATGAGTTCATGGGTAAAGCCTCCTTACACATCTAATTGAATTATCATATTTGCCACCGCATCTCTCTGAAATTATACCAGCTAGATACAATTCACAGATTAGCAAGATCACATAAAAATAAGATGAAAATAAGTTGTCAACAGGAGATGCTCAAAAGGAATAAACAAATAAGAGCATCATGAATGCCCATACTTGGAATCCTCATTTGAGAAGAATTAAATGCCAACATTGATGGTGACAGCATCCAAAATTCTAATTAAAGTACTTCAACATTTGAGATGCCCTATAATTCTCAAGGAAAGAGAAGAGAACTAGATATAAAAAAGGATAACTTATTCATCATTCATCATGCACTCATACTCCCCAATTGGGGCTATCCATAGACTTATGATGCTTAAGTTAATTATTTTAGTAACCAGCCGCAAACCCACAACTAACCACTAAACTAATGAAGATTACATTCACATCATTACTCTTCCTCTCTCAATAACATTATCCTTATGGTTGGATTCCTCAAGTCGATCCAATGGAAGCGAAAAACAACCATTTAGCCACAATTGCTTGAGTGGATCTTTCTTGTGCACTAAGCCATCCTTGAAGTTGCAAAAGAAAAGGTGGACTAATAGACACCTAAGTAATTCCTCAAAAGCATCCCTTGGTAGCCATGAATGTAGTGGTCGTTCGTCTAACCACAATTCTATTTGATCAAGCTAGTAAACCAATTGAATTGCTTCAACCGTTTGGAAATCTAACTCTTATACAAACTCTTCCAACAGACTTAGGATGATGTGGTCAAAATCTTATTAAAGTTAATTTTCAAGAACATGCTAGATGGTTTCCAAAAGATTGTGAATGCTTTCAAAGAAGAAATTTCATTGATCTTGAGAGGAGGGCTAAAACAACAATCAAAACAGCAACATCAAGCCTTTATCCTACAACGTGGGATCAGCTACATTAATCATTTTTTCTTCATTGTGTCATGTTAAGAGTCAAATTCTCATTAAAATTTAATAAAAAAATATCATTTCTAAAATTTTCTTGCCAATTCTTTTTAGGCCTAACTCTACCTTTCTTAACCTAGCCAAATTCAATAAATTTTACTCTCCTAACCAAGTCATCAGAACACCGACGTTTTATGTGTCCACACCATCTAAAGCGACTCTATCTAATCTTATCTACCACTAACCTTTTCATGTACATACTACAAAATTTAACTTAATTTTATGCTTCTCTTTTAATGGCCAATATTATGCGGCATAAAACATTGCAAGTATCACCATCTTATAGAATTTTCTCTTTAAGTTTGATTAATGTTTTTCTATCACACAACAGGCTTGATGCATTCCGCCACTTCAACCATCTAACTTGAATTATACTAATAATATCCCCATCTATTTCGCCATCACTTTGAACAATAGACCCAATATATCTAAAACATGACCTCTTATTAATGACTTGATCGCCCAAAGTCACAATCCTTCCACTATATATATTATTACTAAAATTACACTCCATGTAATCGGTTTTAAACCCTACTCAAACGAAAACCTTTAGACTTTAAGGTTGACCTTCATAATTTAAGTTTTCCTTCAACTCCCTTTCTAATCTTATCAACAAGAAAAATATCATCAGCAAAAAGCATACACCAGGGTACATTCTTCTTGTAAATGTCTAGTAAGAATATCAATAACTAAAGCAAAAAAGATATGGGCTTAAAGCTGGTCCTTGATGTAATCCAATTGAAATAGGAAAATACATGATCAAACCACCTTGTGTTTGAACAAATAATAGCTCTTGCATACATATCCTTAATGACTTGAATATAAGCATTATTAACTCAGTTCTTCTTTAGAACTCTCGAGAGCGCTTCTCTTGAAACTTTATCATATGCTTTCTCTAAATCAATAAATATCATATGTAGATCATCATTCTTCTCTCTATATTACTCCATTAAACCTCCCAATAAATGTATAGCTTCCATAGTAGACATATCCATTATGAATCCATATTGATTTTGAGAAACATTAGTATCAAGTTGTAACCTGTTCTCAATAACTCTTTCCCATATTTTCGAAGTATGACACATTAACTTAATTCCTTTATAATCTGCACACTCTTATGCATCACCTTTATTCTTAAAAATAAAAATCAACACACTCCACTCAACTGGCATCTATTTAGTCTTCAAAATAATATTGAAAAATTTGTAAGCCAAGAAATTAGTTCATCTCCTAAGCATTTATACACCTCTATTGAAATATCATCAAGTTCAAGAGCTTTTCCACACTTCATTTTCTTTAAAGCCTCTCTAACTTTATTTTTACTGATATGACAATAAACACATAAATCTCTTTTTATTCAAGGTGCTAAGGTAACTAAAGTCAATCAAATTCTCACAATCTTCATTAAAAAGCATATCAAAATGAGAGAAGGGCCAAAACATTGAATAATGTTTTGCTTGAAAGAATTTGAAGAATTCAATTATTTGTTCAAATGCATGATGCATCGATTAGAAGTATCATAATGTCCGACCATCCATATACACCACAGCAATTGTAACACATTATAGATTAGATGAATTGTGGCATTGTGACACCAACAAAATTGATCAACTTTGACAAGCCATTCATTTGGATTATCTCCTCCATCGGCGGGGAAATATCTATAATAATTCTTGAATGATTAATCGAACTCTCTTCTATCTATGATTTAGGATGTGATTGTTGTTTCAATTTGTTCTCCATATGTGTAATGTCTTCTTATGTCATTCAACATTAATGTCATAGCCCAAATTTGTTCCTCAGTTTTATCAAGATGCTCCTCAATTAAATAAATGTTGTCATCCATTAAAAATACAAATAGAGTTAAAAGAATCTAGCAAAGCCTATTTCTTGAAGATGAAGGAGACTAGGTTAAAGATCAAGAACGAAATATTTACTTCTTCCAAGAATATAATGAAGTCGAGCGTAGGGTAATTTTGTTTCTTTGGACATCTGATGTAGATGAATTTGGATGGTTGACGTTCTTAAGGAGAATTGATAGCTGCATTTTGAAATAAATGTCGGGGATTCCACTTTCTGCATTGCCATAATTCTTTCCATTAGTGGAAAGGCATTTTGAATTCTTAGTAATGGATCTGATCCTGACAATGTACAAAACGAAAGTTTCTTGGTTGTAGAGTTGTATGTGGCTCTGGCTACAGCTAGTTGAGGGATTGATGGGAATAACGATAATGGCATTTAACATATAAAGATAAAAAATAAGAGTAGATATCGGAGAAAAATCACAATGGTGGAATTGGAATGAAATAAGTGCCAAACAACAGAATTAGTAAAGACGGATGCTTGCAAAAGCGCGAGATGGAGGTAGGATCTTGTGATTTCTGGATTTGGCAATTGTGAACAAAGAAATTATAGTAGCATTGATGGTGACATGAAAAAGAATCGATTATCTGCTCAAGAAATTACAAGATTTAACAGAGGCTTTGCACGACCATGAACATGGAAATTGTGGTAGTTGCATTGTGAAAATGTGCATTGTCACTTAACAGATTTGGATGATGGTTATAATGTCAAGTTCTTGATGCATTATTGAAGCAATTCAGCAAGAGATCAAGCGACCATATAACTTGAATGAAAACAAAAATGTAAGGCGGAAGGTGCGATGAAATATGTGGTGATTCTCTCAACGAAAGCACAAAGGATGGGATTCAATATAATATTTAGAGCAATTTGAGCTGGCCTAACACCCCCAAAGAAAGAGAAGAGAGCTAGATATGAGAAAATGTAAACTTATTCACTATTGATGCTATTTATAGACTTAAAAGTCCTATTTAAGCTGATTATTCGACTAAATAGCCACAATGAACCAATAAAATAATTACAATTAGGTTCACATCAAAGAGCCTGAATAATGGAGAATGGAAAAGGAATCAAAGAATATACTCTGATAACTGAAATTTATATTGCATGTCAATGACTCAAAATGCTTTCGCTTGGAGGAAGGTAGGTTATCTTAAGGTCCATGCTTAACCACTTCATCTACTTCTAAAGGGATAAAAGGTATAGCAGCCATGGGTGGATTCAAAAAGGAAGAGGAGGAGAGGGTGGCAATGGGGGCACATGCCCCCCTCAAAAAAATAATAAAAAATAAAGTCTAATTGAGGGTTTAAAATAAAGAAAAAAATCTAAACATATGGGGTAGGAAATCGTAGGGGCTTCATGGCTTGCATGAAAAATATTGTACCGTTATGGCCATCGGTCAATAAAGCAAGTTATGTTGAAGCCTACCTATAGATCCAGCAATCCAATCAAAAGCATGATGGTAAACCAAGCAATATCCACGGCATCTCATACAAATCTATAAAAAAATATAAAAAAGTGTAGCAAATCCTAGTAGATGGTAATTGTGAGCTTCTTTCACTTTGTCTATGTTAATTTCAAAATCAAATCAGTCCAGTTATTAGTATCATATATTTTATAAATAAATAAATGTTATAGAAGTTGAAAATAAATGTATAATCTCATAAAAGCCTAAATAATATTTTTTAAAAATTTTGTATATATCATAATCAGTATTTATCTGATTTATAAATGATTTGTAAATTTGGACAAATTAATTATGATTTTTTTTTGCTTTAAAATTGCCTATGCTAGTCCAAGCCCCGATGAAAAAGTTGAGGAAAAGTTTGTCAAAATAAATTTAGGCCCCTGCTAACCGCGACTGAGAGCAGCGCACTCGTACTGATATAAAGTTCAGAGTATTTTTAAAAAACATTACAAGAAGCAAATGAACCATTTTATGGCTATTACCTAAACACGCCATTTTATCTTCTATTTTCTTATAAAGGTAGCATCCTCAGGATGAATTCACACACAGTACCAGTATCATCAAGAACTCTTGCACAATAACTGGTTCAAATCTATAAACCTTGAGATCTATTCAGATATATGCTTATAGTGCATTAATTCTTACTTATGAAGTAATAATTTCGCTAAAAATTTATCAACCAAAATCATACCGCTAGCAAAGCAATAATATTGATACATCTTCAATATATTAGATAATGCCATGAGATAAACCAAAACGTAATGAAGCTACCTGTGATACGCACTAGTGTTTCTCTCCCAGACAAGTCAGTGACGTGCTGCAAACCAGAAGAATTACTCAAAGGTTGGAATTTTGATATGGAACAAGACCACCATTCAACTAAAAATATAAACTTACAATAAAGGTATCGTTGAACGAAGCAAAGATGTGAGCAACACCAAACACGATCTCACCATCGCGCACTTTCGGTCCCAGCGTCACAGTTTCCTCTTTAGGCTCCCTATTCTTCTTTTTTCCAGACTACAAAACAACCAAAAAAGTTGAGAAAATCAAATTTTAACTCCCAGTAAGGATTTATTAAGGCTGCCATTGTAGCAGATCAAGTTTGAAGAATAATTTGCAGGTGAAACAAAATAATAGAAATCAAGAGGGGAGATGAGAGGGGAGAACCCAGAAGATTAAGAGCAAGTCGCGTCCCTTACCATATTTCAGCGGGTAGAAGACGGCGAGAATTAGAGATGGCCGATGCCGGCGGCGGAAGAAATCTGTTCTCACCCAACCCAAGCACAAATGCACAATCAGCCGAACCATCACCTCGAAGGCTTATTAGCAACCCTAAAGCGAGCGCTAATGGACCAAAAGGCCCTTCTTTTACATAAAATAAAAACCTAGACTTTCCTAGCTATACAAAGTGATATGGTTTGCATCTGGAATTGACCTTAGGGTTAACTTAGGCCATTGGTTGATAAAAATTGTAATATTTGTTGCGGGTTAAAATATTGGCGGCGATAGAGAGTAAATTTTTCGTCTTAGCGATGCACGGATATTTAGCACACAAACAGGTGATTACGGAGCGAGGGCAGTAAACACCAATGTTACAAGAGAGAGTTTTGAAGGGAATTAAAATTTTGTGATGCTATTACTTTATAATAATATAAATTAAATAATATATTTAGCAAATTTTAGTATTTCTCATAGCATATTTTCTAAATCAAATGAGTCTTTTAATTAAAGTTGTCAAATTTATTTGAAATATTACTCTTGTCAAATTAATGTTGAATCGAAATGTATCGATTGTATTATAATTCATATTTATATTAGCATGCAATATGAGTCTACCATAAAATTTGACACATTTAAGCACAACAAATCAAACTCTTGCCATTGAAAATACTTATTTTTATAAATCTTTCGAACAATCAGCAATTGGGATTGTAAAAAATTATGTCCTATTACTTTTTGGTATGTAGTTAAGTAAGTACATTCTTTTACTTATGTGGTCAAATTATGTATGTATAAATTAATCAAATAAAGAGATAGGTAAAGTGAATATTTAGCTCAACTGAAATACATTAAGGATGGAGATCAAGAAAGTCTTTTTTTTAGAATAGGATATTTGGCATAGGTGAATAAGATATTTCGATGAATTTTTCAATATAAGTTGTGATAATAAGATTGACTTTAGTAATCTTGGCACTCAAAATTTTTATTTTTATTGTCATTGTTATGCTCTAAAAATTTTGAGTCAGTGGAGTGTGTTTTTTACATCTCAGCATTGTACAAAAATTTAGCACGCACAGGTACAAAAATTATGATCATAATTTTTTTTTTACATGGAAAATTCAAAAAGGGAAAAAAATACGGGGCCTCAATTAAAAAAATCTACTATGTAGTAGGTGATGGAAGAATCCACTTTTCTTGTATTTAATTTTATCAATTTAACTGACACCCATTTTACTTAGACTTGTAAATATATGCATCAGGAATATGAACTTCAACAAAATTCAAGTGTCACTAACAATTACTTATCAATGTCAGAATTATGAACTTTAAATAGAATGGTTAACATACATTACTTAGTGATTTAATTATATAATATATGTAATATGTCATGCACATATCTGAATATATGCTTATAACTCCATTTTTACCCATGTCTCTCGATATCAACTCACCTTCTCACACGAGATGAAGGAGAGCCAACATAATTTCCTTTATAACTTCACTTCCACTTATAACTCTCTTGATCCTCCAACATCTGCATAAGGTAGTTTGGATAAAAATAAAAATAGAACATAATTTACAACCCATATAATTTAACTTGTGATGCACTTGAACATCTAACATATCAAAACTTTTGTCATATGAACTTGATATGCACATATATATAATAAGATGACTCACATGTATATATAACATTGAACATGAACATGAATATAGTGAATTGACACATGTAAGGTATTTTAGCGGTAAACATATATATAATTTGCACACATACTCAATATTTAACATTCAGAGGATTATTCAAATTATTCACATAGGGCATATAAAACATCATTTCAAAGCATTTAGTTAACCACAACAAATATCAGTAATATCTTATTTATTAGGAAAATCATAATTATTTGTACATATAAAGACAATCAGTAAAAATTAGTTGTATTATTGTCAACATAGTCATAAGGGGGAATTTTACCATATTTAAGTGGTGTAAAATCACATTTTATTCCAAATCTATTTGTACAAGCATCATAATTCAATTCAGAAATAGGGTATTGGGAGTCTACCTCAAGGTCAATGTTTTCCTTGACTAGCCTAATTGATGAATCTTACTCTACGGCCTTTGAAACATTCTCTCTCGTTTCTCTCTTCTTCTCTTCTCTTTCTCTTCCTTCTCCAGTAGCAAAGGTGAGGGATTGGAAAAATGAAAAATGTATTTAGATATTATATATTAAAAACACCTCATTTCTGACACAATGTTGTGACGGTCATGATTATAGGGCCATAGTAGTCCCTCAAATAATTTAGATCCTTCCAGACATGAGAGCATAGTTCCGTAGTGCTCACTTTTTCAAGGATCCTAGCACCCTAAGCTCTTCCCATTTTCCTTCCAAACATAAATTCTAGTGTCACAATGTCACCATTCTCAACATTGTGGCGCTCCTTCAACCAGACTCTTTCAAACAAAGAGGGTGATGCCACCACCAACACCTTAGCACTCCTAAAGAGCACTTGACACCTTACATTTTCTACTTCTTTAATTCAACTCATACTCTTTCAAACTTAATTAAATCTTAAATAACTTAAAATTTCACAAAAAAAAATGTTAATATATAGAAATAATTATCGGTTTGGTTAGGGTCAATCCAACTTTGTAGTAGTGGTTATTACAAAAGTACATCTCAAACTTATGAGAAAATTTTATAAGATGCTGACGAGACTTACGATACTTTATGGCACAAAATGTTGGCCATTAAAAGAGAAGCATAAAATTAAGTTAAGTGTTGCATAAATGAGGATGCTCAGATGACTAGCTTTATACTTAAAAGAAAGAATGTGAAACAAGTATGTAAGTGAAAAGGTTAGCATAGCTCCCATGGAAGATAAGATTAGAGAGAACAATCTTAAATGATTTGGTTACATAAAACGTCAGCCTTTTATGATCCCGTCTATGTAAATAAAGACAGAGGTAGACATAAAAAGATTTGGTCATAAAATATTAAAAATGGCTTTTTTAATATTATTAAAAAAAAAAAAAAAAAAGATTCTTGGGACAACATTGGTCTTGCTTATGGTTGTCATCTCTACTCTTATTTTGAGAAGGCATTAGTGACTCCTTTTTGTTTAATCTTGTGAATAATTTCATGTAAGGAGAGAATTGTATTGATATCTATATATGTTTTGTTTCTTTTTGTGTGAGTTAATGTTATATAATTGGTCTTTTGCTCTTCATTTTCGTTAATAAGTTTATTCTATTTTAATATGGTTGAGGTTCAAAAGGATTAATGAATAAAATATAAAAAGAGATGCAATTTTGTGAGACAAGATAATGCTTAGTATTAGCAATCAAAAGACTAAAGGAGGGTTTATGGTTTTTAAAATCTCTCCCACTTAGGTAACTAACATCCTCGTCAGTATCTTTATCCCAGAATCATCCACCATGCATATATGATTCTAGAGGGGGATCCTACAAGTTCAAGTGGTGGCTCCCGTCATGTAGCACTTTATCTTGTATGATGCTTAGTTCCCATCTTTCAAGTGGTGTATTGGTCTAATATAATTTGTAATAACTCAAACTCCTAACTATCGAGATATTGTCCATTTTGGCTTAAGGGCCTCATGGTTTTGATTTATTAGTGTAACTTCCAGTAGGTTACCCATCCCATAATTGCTCTGGGATAAGCATGCTTAAGTGCGGAGTTTCTTAAATGAAATTCCAATCAATACACCAAAAGTCACCTCAATGTTTAAGAGTTTAGCTTCTTTTACTTAAAGGGTTTCACACAGCTCCCATATTTTCCTTCTATTTTCCCTTCTTGTTACCTATTGTGAATGGTGATTTAATGGCTTCTTCACTCTGGATTGCCTTCTCTTCACATTAGTGGATATAATACTCATTATTGCTACATATTGTACGCCCCAGCATTCCTCTATGGTGAGCTTTACTGATACCTCAACTTGTTTAGGGCCTTGATTATAAATGATAACAGGGGAATCTTGGGCCAGTACCTACTTGTACCTCACAATGAGTGTTGTTAATAGTAGTGGATTCTTGGGGTGGTACCTCAACTTGTACTTCACCTGAGTATTGACGACAATAATGGAATATTCATAGAGCGGTACCTCAACTTATACTTCAGCCTAAGTGATGTCGATAGGACTGGATTCTTGGGTCGGTACCTCAACTTGTTGTTCACACTGACTATTTTTAACATCAGTGAATTCTTCACTTTTTGTGAATAACTTTACTGCCCAACCCTCAATATGTGCAATTTTCTATTCAATATGAGCAACTTTTATTTTAAGCCACCCAACTCTCATGCCAAGCTCCATGCTAAGTTTTTCTATTTCATTTGTAAGAGTCTTAAATAATGTACTCATTTTAGTGCACATTTGAGTGAGTTGCTCAGAGATGCTAGCATTGGCATAAGTGATGGTTGGGCTGGCAAATCTTTAGGTGGGAGATGTGACTTGCTATGGAGAAGAAATGAATTGAGGAAAAGAAAGAGGAGACAAGTTATATGGGATTGAGAGGTTTGTGGGTTTAGAAACACTTCACAAAGCATTTATTCTTTCTCTTATTTAACATCTTAGAAGGTATAAAAAAATATGGACATAATTGAACACATTGTTAGTAGAAGCAAGTGTACTTGAGTTTATTAAATTACATGTCCTATTATGTGTGGGGAATAAAGTGTGCTTAGAAATCCTTGATTTGATTAAATAATTCAAAGACCTAAATGGTAGTATATAAAATGTTCTTTTCCCAATGAAGGAAATGAGGTTTTAAGTTACCCATTGTAGAGGAAATAATAGATGTGTGCTTCATAAACCAAATATGTGTATGATTAAGACATAACATTAAATGAAGTAATACTTAGAGAAATTATAAATGATGTGATAACTCACCAGTAACAAAGGTACAAATTCATTCATATAATATAGTGAGATATCATTAATAAACTTCTTGACCATCTCATTAAACTAAGAAACTAAGAAATTCCTAATGGCCCCTGCCCAATTATACCTTGAAAACTTATCTATATTCTTAGCAATACTAATGAGCCTCCTTGGGGTTCTATAGTAAT